GAGCAAACAAACGTTCACTTTACAAAGATATTTTAATTTTTTAAAACAAATTAATCACCCTGTCAAAATCCTTTGTGTTACGGCATTGAAATTCGAACAATACGTTATTTCAATGATTTTGGTTTTTTTTGAGACACCCTGTATAAAGAAGCATAGTGAGTTGCATTCATGGCCAAAGACATATTTATAGGTTAATTATTTTACATAATTATTTTTCGTCGTTTGCCACGCATGTAATCGGTCAAGGATTCAGGATTATCTGGCATGGAAATAACGTTTTAAACGTGCTATATAAAACGGTACCGGTGTTCAATATTCATACTACACGATGGGCATATGGCCAAACAAACACCTTGTGCTTTTTTGCTCAAATTTACGCACGCATGATTTTGTATACATAATATAGATTTAAATCTAGCAATTCAAATCCCAAACTCATGGGGTCATGCATGACATCTATCTATAATTTATATTTTCTTGAAATGTTTGGTGATTCATTGTTATTGCTGTTGTTGTAACCCAGTAAACAGACACACACCGCCGTTTAGACATGTCACATGTCGTTCTTGTTCCTTTTATATACATACGATAGACGATAAAGCTTCGAATTACTTCTCTTTAATTTCCAGTCCGGCTTTGTCCAGTCTTTGAAGTGACTTTACAAGCGCGTGTTGAAACAGGTCATCTTAACAAGAACACATGATGTTTCGAATCACCACGTGGAATCACAGCGGCCACTTCGAGCACATTTCGACTCGATCATGTTTACATCATACATGAAAATTGATACATGTAATACGAGACCGAAATTTGGTTGTATTTTGACGAATATTAACGATATAACGAAATATAAACCCCCAATATGTGTAATTCCATTAGGTGGTCTGTATATATTCGTAATATTCCCTTGATGGTGGAAAATACATCGAAACAAAAGAAAAATCCAATATTTTCTGCTCACCAACACGTCTCCACTCCGCAGTAAAAATTAGTGCATAGTCAGCATTTTTAGCTTGCAGCAGAGCGCGTTTACTTCCGGAAAACACCAGAATTTGTGGTGTTCCGGTTTGGCTTGTCCCAGGGCTTACGGCAACGCAGGCAGCCGAGAAGCCCTGGGAACGAGGATGAAATCAGACTAGAAATCAAGAAATCAGGTTCGAAATCGCGTGATTTCGAAATCTCGTACGCTTCATCAACCTCGTCCCCAGGGCCTATTGAGGAAGGAGGCGAAGCAGCAAAGGCCCTGGTAAAGGCTGGTCACGTGATGCTTCAAATTTTGAATATTTCAGAAATTTAACTTTTCAAACCGGGGGTGCGGGCCGCTTTGATTTTATCAAACATGGCCGTGCAAAGGGGCGATAGAATTACTGTAACCTTTTGCGACTGAAACCAGAGACTGAAACTATGATGATAAACTTTTCAACTGACAGTGGAAATACTGTAAATATATAGTCTGCGATGTTCTTCAAGAAAATATGGAATATAATCAATAGCAATACTTGTGGAAGATCAAGATTCAAAGAGAAGAGTCTAAACACTGACTGACAACAGTAAATATTTCTTTTCAGCTTGGAAGCGTGTTTTATAATATTTGTCGTTTGGGAGTCAATAACATACTGTCACTACTGTCAGTGAAGAATTTGATTTGGGACTTTGATGTACCTTTATGAAAAGATTACTGCTGAATACAAATGTGCATGTAAAATGTGATTAGAACGTTTTAATATGAACAGTTGCACTGTCATTGACTCAATATATTTTAATGTGGGACAAACATTAAAAAACATTAAAGTACTGTGCCAAGTGACAAAATTCCATGCCGACCATGGGTTACGTATGTATGCATTTTTATTAAACGTTTATACCAATATACACTATTTTAAACCTTTGTGTGTGAATTTTGTGTGTTGATTTTATGATATTTGACAACCATGAATATTAATAATATAATATGTTAACAGCAAGTTTACAGTATATCGTATAATACAAAAGCAATATCACTGATATTATCACAAGACTCAAGTACTGTACATGGTCTAATAGATGTTTCTTAGTCAGCAACTATGCTCTTTGACATTGTGGCAATCAGGTATTCTTGGGGCTTTTAGCTTGGTTTTTCACTTTTTTGATGCAACTATAGAATACCCACAACTTTCACACCTTACCGCTATTAATTCCTTGTAAACCAAACTAACATACTCATATGATTTAATCTCTAAACTTTACCTTAAACTATTTTGAAGTGATTCTTGTACTTATTTATGTGTCAATGAATGCGGAAAAATGGCGAGGTATTCTATAAGCATTCCGGCATGTGTGTTTTTGAACCTTCACTGTTGAGAGAGCATGCCATGGGTCTCCCCAAATTATCTGAGCACTTCAACCAGACCAACAGCTGCCAAATGGCAACTATGCTCAGAGGTGTAACTTAACACTTGCCCGGGGCAAGTGAATATCATGATGGGCAAGTAAAAGTTTCCTCTTGGTTGCCCGAACGGGCAAGTTGCTTTGCCACAAAAAGCTGGGCAGCTTTCAGTTCATATTATTATTGTCGGATAGAATAAAGGCTGTTCGACGATATTGGTTCAAGCTGGCAAATCATCTGCATCAAATTCATCTAAATTGTTTGGTTATATTATGCATTTGATTCTCTTTTTGGTTATTAAATGTTTATTCATGATATGATAACCGAACGAAATATGGCAGGACTTCATTTATGGCAGGACTTAATTTGGGACTTTATTAGTCCTATTGTCTGTGCCTTCAATTTCTTATTGTAAAACTAATAAAAAATAAATAATGGTGATTAGTGTTACATTAAACAAGTGTACTTGATTCAAATTTTGTTTAATATGTGAGCCAAAGCTAGATCTGAGGTAGTGTAGATCTGAGGCAGTAACATATAGCCAATGCCACTAGTCCAATGAGTGGATATGTTGTCTCCCTAATTTATACTGGCCCACATAGGTACCCCCTTGCCTGATGGCAAGTGGATTTCATTCAGGGCAACCAATTTTCATGTCCAACTTACCCTGAGGGCAAGTGGTCAAAAAAGTTAAGTTACACCACTGATGCTGTATACAAATTATATACCTGAAAGGTAACTTACATCATATTGTGTCATTTAAATACTAATACTTGTATTCTCACAGTGTATTAAGATATACAAATGCACTTGTGATGCCCAAAGAATTGCCACAAAAAAAAACATAAACCACAAATCAGTCAATTTCAGTAAGTAGGGCACACTGGGGCACATTGCAGCTCAATGGGTTAACTAGAGACATTGTCAGATTTAATTTTGGTTAATAACCATAATTGCAAGAGGTCAGTATACAGTCTGTAACAATAAGTAATTCAGGAATTCACACAATTCTCAATAGCAGTCAATAATTTCATGTTAAATGATTATCGGATAATGTTGAGCATCAAGAATATATGTATAATATCCTTCATACATTTATAATAATATTCAGGCTAAATATATCATAGTTATTATTTTATGTACTATAGTTTTATCAGGTATAAAGATACGAGGCGAAGCCAAGTATCTTTAGGTCTGATAAAGCATACACTGCGAATGTTTTAAATTGCTCCACTGATGGTCACCAACAACAAATAGTACTTTATTACAAGGCGGCAAAATGTATTTAAATTAAAAGAGATGAATAATCTTGTCACTTGATACATTTGACACCAGGTGTCTTGTATTTGTCCATATTAGAGACCCTTTTTATTGTATCATGTTTTGAGAATGAGTTCAATTTTGATATTTGTTGTCGATCTGAGCAAAATATTGATTATTGATTTGCCTACTGAGGCACACAGTATTGAACAGTCAATTGTGGTGAGTGATGCTGAACTGCCTGTTGTATGTTGTGATGATTTTGAGCGCCTGTTGTGATGAATGACACTGAATTGCCCCAATGGACCATTTGCATTATAGACTAAATTTTGATCCAGACAAAAATTTCATCACAGCTTGAAAGAGCATCACAAAATTAGTAATATTCCAAAGTCTCGTTCCGAAATGTTGTAAAATGCGGATAATATAGCCTTGCGAAGTTTGCCATTTTTCAGTCATTTTAGATTACAAACGGGAAATTGACAGCCCAATCGGGTGTTGGGGCATCAATTTCCCGTTTGTAATCTAAAATGACTGAAAATTGCAAATTTCGCAAGGCTATATTATCCGCATTTTACAACATTTCGCAACGAAAATTTGGAATATTACTAATTTTGTGATGCTCTTCCAAGCTGTAATGAAATTTTTGTCTAGATCAAAATTTAGTCTATAATGCAAATGGTCCATTGTGGCTCAGGAAAAAATGTACCTGCTGACTTGTCGTAATTTGTGTAATTGATTACAAACAAAAACAAGGGCTTGTTAACAGCTAGTATAATGAGGAAATTAATTCCCTATTCAGCCTTGATAAAGCATACGGAGGCTTTCTGTCTGATTTGACCCTCATGCATGTAATTGTTTGGGAATGCCTGATCATTAAGATCACAACATTTGTTTTGAAGCTTGGCCTTTGAAATCTAAACCCAAAGCACTATATGTGTGTTCACAATGTTCTTGGGATAAGAATGAAAATCAAATAAAATATTTCAACTCAATTAAATTCAGGAAATGTTAATTAACCATGGAGGTCAACCAGGTTATACTCAGGACATATGGCTAACATAAGCATTTAAATTCCAAGTGCATACGATGTTGACATTCCTTGTTTTTCAGACATTCTTTGGGTCTTGCACTCCCTTTATCAACTGTTAAATATACTGTATAATATTGACATTTGCAAGAAAGATCTATTGTAGCAGCAATAACTATTAAATGTTTTGATGATCATGGATATGGTGTATTGAGAGTCCATATTATTAAATTAAAGTGATTTTACATATCTGTTTCACAATCGAGGCAGCAATTTCCTTGCGACAGTAATTCATAGTATAAATACTTCTATCGATCCATTCGTTTTGCACTGTTGCTTTGTATATTTAATAGATCTCCTTTACAGTTCAACCAAGGTTCTCAGAGCTAATTTGAAGACTTTCATTTTAAAATAGATTTTTATCACTTTTATGCAATATTGACGAATATATTGTAGCTAAAGCGATCCGCGATCGCACCCCCCCCCCCCCTGTATCGTATTTGCTCCGATATATCACGTGACAAAATAATCCACAATTTGTGGATTATTTCACCAGCCTTTACCAGGGCCTTTGCTGCCCTTCGCCTCCTTTCTCAAAAGGCCCTGGGGACGAGGTTGATTTCATCTGCCTTATATATATATACATATACATAAAGATTAGGACTGCTGCCTCGCTCGCTCGCTTCACGCTCGCTCGCAACGGCAGCAATAAAAAAATTACCAAATATCAGCGTCCAATTCCATTTCTTTCTGCCTTTTTTTTCAACGCAAACATGCAAATTTTTCGGCCGCCATTACTGAGTTGTCAATTAGCGAAGTGTTGATTTCTTAGCCGGACGTGACGTCATTTACTCAACACGCTTCTTTCCCGAAGGAAAAATTAATATTATTAAAGGCTTATTCTAGGCTTTTTTTTGTTCAAAATTATGTCTTCTGACGAAAGCCACAGCTCAAATTTTGCTACACAATCACAGTGCCGCAGAGAGGTTGGCGGGGGCCCGGGGCAAAAAACTTTTTGGGGGCCCCCTTTTTGAAAAAAAATTTTCTGGAAAAAATTTGTTCCGGACAACAACCTCCCCCCCGTCGCCAAAAAAATTTCGGTAAGTGTACCATTTTAGGGGTCAAAAATTTTTCCGGACGAGTATATTGCACGCACTTTCCAGAGACTTTATCTCATTTTTTATGCATAATTTCGGTACTTAGCCCAATAAAACAGATATGTTGTCCTTTGCGCGGAAATATTTAACACAGAAAAACGACTGGGGCCCAACAAATATTTTTCAGGGGCCCCCAGCACCTCGGGGCCCGGGGCAATTTCCCCCCCCCCCCCCCCCCC